AAGATCCCGAGATATCGACCCATCATGTGCACGAAATTTATAAGAACACTAGTTCCACCTAGTGAGATAATTCAGAACTAAACTGTCCATAATTCAAAAGACTTTGACCTTCTGATCAACCTAGCAGAAAACAGCTAGCAAGGATCTTGAGATATCGACCTTGCATTTACACGAAATTAAAAAAAAAACACTAGAGCCATCTTTCGAGAGAACTTCTAACTAAACTGTACACAATTCAAAAGGTTTTAGCTTTAAGAACAACAATGCAGAAAATAGCAAATTTGTATCTAGCTATATCGACCCTGCATGTACATGATATTTTTAAGCACACTAGTGTCACCGAGTGAGAGAATTCTGAACTAAACTGTCCACGATTCAAAAGTTCTTGGTCTCCTGAACAACATTGCAGAAAACAGCAACTTTGTTTATAGGCTGGATCATGAGATATTGCATGTTCACAAATTTCACATGAACTGTAGAGCCGCCTTGTGAGAGAATTCGGAACAAAAAATAAACTGTAGTGTTGGCCTTCGTTATCAAAACAACATTGCAGAAGACCGCACGCTTTTTTTCCTTGATTTGTATTCCGTCGATCTTGTTTTCCGTGCTGAGACTACCGACGCCAGGGAGGCAGCTCCCACACCTGGACCCTACCTATCGACCCATCAACTCATGAACCGGGGACCAACGCCTTTACTTCCCAGAAATGTTATGTCTCAGAACATCCCGGCGGCGCCGACTGGGATTGAACCCAGGCCTTCTGGGGTGAGAAGTAATCACGCCTACCACTACACCACCGGTGCCGCTAAGACCGCACCCTTATATCTAACATATATCACGAGAACTTTATACTATAAAAGTTAATGAAACGAAACTATCTGCAAACACTAACACCACCTAGTGATTTAATTGTGACCTAAATTGTTTACCATTTTCAAGAAATTGGTCCATGGAACAATATTAGGTAAGGCATGTATAACTGTTGAGCTCCAGTTTCGCAACAGTAATCAAAAATGTAACTGACCTATAAATAGGTCACTGGGTGTTAGAGGCTTCTGATCTATAAACAAATCATTGGGCGTTAATGGGTTAAAGAAGCCTTAAAGTTAAAAGAAGGTCCTGGATTTTTAATAAAGTTTCCCGTAATAAAACAAAGTTTCATTCACTTAATCGAAGTTCTTCAAACTTGTTCAAGTTTCCTATTTCTACGAAATGTTTCAGACTTATTTCGAAGCTTTCTGAATTTATATTAGATTATCTGCATTTCTTAGATTTGTCTTGAGCATCTCCAAACTCACAGAAGTTTTAAGAAGATCAATAAAAGTCAAGAAAAATACTTGGGCTTGAATGAACTTCCCCAATTTTTTTAAAAATCCTACAAAGTTTGATGTAGTTCTTCAAAATTATCTGCATTTCTATGAAAATCATTTAAGTTATACGAAGTTAATTGCATTCAGTCAGTGTTTGTTACTTCATACGGGAAGTTTACGATGACAGAGTTGGGAGAAAATGTTATACTAATATCAACCTGAAGCTTTAGTGCGATAATTTATTAGCTAGAGATAATTCTAAAGAGGATAGGGGGGAGAGGTAGCTCATCGATTCTTCCGGTTCGCCTCCTAGCATCGTGCTATAAGGTACCAGGCGATAACCAGGGTAGTTGATCGATAGCTCGATGACGTCATTTCGTTGACGTCTGCAATGGGAAATTCTCATAGCAGGCGTTGACGATGGGACGTTGTCGAGTTGTTGAATAGCAACTATCGTGGTAACTCACCGATTACCTGTCGATCTGCCAAATTTGGAAAGACGTCTGCATTGAATTGTCTCATATAATAATATTCCGCCCACTATATCACAAGAAATTGCGAGTAGCTGAGTGGAATGGAGATAAGTTAAGCATTGGGTACAGGACCAAGTCTCCCCTGGGTGGTGCCAAAAGATGAGCGCAATAGAATCATCAAGTTGCCATAAGGCACGGAATGAGACTACTGCATGGCTGGGTAGTCAAAGTCTTCTATTCGTTAGTCATATCAGGTGGATTAGAACAGGTTTAGGTGGGCGTTGGCCAGATTTGGATTTTTCAGGTGTAATCCTGGATAGGACCCTGTCATTGAACGTCGCGTGAAAGTGGAACTTAATGAAGGCCTTAGTACTTTTTCGTAGTTTTTAGTTTTCGGATTTGAAAGATCGTCGGTTACAGTGGCCTGCTTACTGAGCAGAAAAACGCGGTCCCAGGTCCTTACATATCAAAGAGATTTATGGTAAAATCGCTTGTGTATCGTGTATTTTGCGAAACTCGTTGTTGCCGTTGGTTCCGGGTTTGAATGGATACACAAATTTGAGCAACGGTTTTATGTGATATGAGGGGCTCGGTGGCCTTAGAGCAACCGTTTTTGCTTACTGAGCAGAACATCATGAGTCTAATCTCAGGCCCATCCACATTCAAGATTCGTCAATCGTTTTATTTGTTAATATGACTACATGGTAATAACAGCAACTCGGTGATTAAAAAGGTGCTCGTCTGCCTAGTGGCAAACGTTTTTGCTTACTGAGCAGAAGACCGTGGGTTTAGTCCCAAGCTCCTTCGCGTTATATGATCGTTAGGACATCAATTCAGCTTATCGTTTACCAAAACGAACCCTGCTGCAAACCCAACCCTCTTATCCAACATCCCAGTGATTCCTCGTGGAAGTGCAGAGGTGTTCTCGGCTTCCATCAAAGCGAGTGTCATGTCAACACAATCCTTCCCATTCCTTTCTTAACCTGTGTTCGGGCGCGGCCGGCGCTGGTATTGCCTAATTTAAGATCACCAGTTTTTACACATTGAGGATGATTGCTAGTCCCAAGCATCGTCTATTGGTTCTCTGTGTAATTACAGCTGATCTGGCAGTAACAGAGTAGCAACCGTGGGCGGTCAATCAAGCTCAAGCTCAAGCTCAAGCAAGCTGGAGATAGTTCTAAAGAGGATAGGTTGATAGTTCCGTTAGAGTACCGCAGTAGGACACTTGAACAGAAGTTTGAACTGAGCGAAGGGCCATTGATGCGACAATACTAATGAAATGCGCACTCCTTTGCCTAGATCACTTGATGGGTGAAGGGACTTGAGGTATTTTCTCAAATCCACAGGCAAAAAAGTGCGCGTTTGACAGTATATGAGCAAGTCAGTCTCTAGCTAATAAATTATCGCACTACAGCTTCATGTTGATATTAGCATAGCATTTTCTCCCAATTATGAAGTTTCTCTGGATTTTTATGATGTTCGCTGAACTTTTACAAAGCTAGCTTATCTCTTATATAATTTGTTGCACTTCTAAAAAGTTACCAGAACTTCTACGCTGTCCCTGAAGTTCTAAGAAGTTATCTGGCAGTTCTATAAAGTTTCAGGAGATGTATGAAGTTCCTTGATATTCTATAACGTTTCCTAAACTTTTAAGAAGTTTTCCAACCTTTTAGGGAGTTTTCTGAAATCAACTGACGTTCTCTAACCTTCTACGAATTGCCATTGACTTCTAAGAAGGTCCCTGTAAAGACTCAGTTTAAACAAATTGAAATAATGTACACCTTTCGCCATTCGCAAATTTTAAATGTGTTACATGTGAAGACTTCTGCAACCGATAGTTTATGTCTTGTCCGCTAGAACATGGCCCCATCCAGCCCAACATCCTATTTACGCCTATTTGTATGGTCAATATTTTGCGCCGTGACACCTTGTCACCATTTTGCTGAATGATCAATCACATGGTACACATTAAAAGACATTGTTAACATAGGTACAAAGAGGAAAATTTTGATGATTTTATTAGGCAGTATTGGTAAGTGGGTAAAGTTTGCAGATACTCTCTATGACTAGTGTACTTTTCTCTGGGTGAACTTTGTGAAATATCATCCCACATATTCTCCCACATCAAGTCGAGAATATTTTCAACTCGAAAGATTTCCTCGACTGGACCGGGAAACGAACTCGCCGCCTCCTCCAACACATTCAAATACACAATCTTTGTTTGTATCTATGCACAGTGATCAGTCGATGAGTCAAAAATAGTCCTTACCTCCAAGCATGCAGCTGCTACGAAAAAACAACTCGATTTAGACTTCCAGATGTAAACAAATGAGGGACATGGATAAACGAGGCAACCTGCATCTGGATTCTTTCCACCGGTACACGCAAAAAAAAAATCTCTTACATCCAACGTAAGGTTGGTTTTATTACATCCTCTGCATATGTTTCAAACAACAAATATAATGGCAGTTCTTTCAATGGGCTGCAGCGTACAAGCAAGTTTTTCCAGAATGCGTATTGTTTATATAAAACCTTCACGAGATGATTTTCTAGACCTAATGCATTCGGCGAAACAGAGTTTGTTCGAAAGAAAGCTAACATAAAAATAACAAGATTATATTAAAAACCTTCCGATGACCACATTACAGAATCTTTTAATGACGCAAAACATTGCAAATTATGCATACTTTCCATGCAAGTCTGTAATATAATCTTACATTTCCCGGTTGGGTGTCCCAAAAATAATGAAATAAGAATTGCCAAATTTACGACAAATATTTAAACTCAAACTTACATCAGCACTGTGTACAGGAAATATTGAAAAGGCTGAAGCTTCGAATACGTTTGAATTGCGAGTTTAAAGCCATATACCGTCGACCTCTGCTTATCTAAACGACACTTCATTCACATTAACGGGGTTCATTTTTAATTTGAACATCTTGAACATCAACACTATAAGCATTAGAAAAAACGTGTTTCTAGTCGCCTTATTTGCTGTTTTGTTTTGATTCTGCGTTCCGTTTCGTATCGTTCCATTTTACTTTACGCCATTCCATTGGCTAAATGACGTTAGAGCCATTTTTAGTTTGCACGGCAATTAGCGGGTTTCAAATTAAAAAGTGTTCAGATTAAAAACGGTCAGATTACCGGGGGTGCACGGTAAACGTCTCTGTTGTTAGTTTCGAAATATGTTATTAGAGGAAATGAATGTAGTTACCGGTTTGTCTGCCAGAGATAAGATCGCCTAATAAATCCCGTATGAAAAATGATTTACTTGATTCCATATTCAAATTTGTCTTGCTCTCTTCTATATTCATGAATGCACCACCAAATATTGCACCTAATTCACTTAGCTACGATATTAACACCCTTTAACTGTTATTTATAAATCCACTCCAATAATCCACGGTTGACTGTCCTTCGTAGATTGATTTCATCTCACATGCCACTGCACACATCCTCCTTAAAATAAATAAATAAAACAGTTTGATCCGTCCGGGTGGAAAGCGTTTAGCACACTAACATCGCCGACGTGTACGATCTGCTTCCAATCGCACCAAACGGTTATCGTAAAGAACGTTCCGCTCGCGTCCCAATCCCAAAACGGCGAAAAAAGAAGACAGCAGTAACGAAAAGTTTACCCTAAACAGCCTTTAATTCGAAATAAAGTGAAAAGCATTATTTCTCCATCAAAACAACTTTTCCATAACACACTCCCACTTGTTTGCTCAACCGACTTTTCATAATTTATTCGTTCGTCGGTCGGGTTTCACGGCATACTAGTGGTGGTGCTTCCTAGTGGTGAATAATTTCCATCAGTGTAGTATGAATGTACCACCTCAGATCACAGAAGCCGGTTGGTGAGTTGCACGACAGGCAATAGACATATTTTCCACCACATCCACACTGAATGCAGCCATTCTTGGCATCCCGACCCCTTCGCTGGGATTAGGAAAACGATTGTGACTGATTCAGGTTAATGCATCAGGCCGGTCTGGCATTTTTTATAACTTACTTGGTAATCCTGTATTAAAATTGACTTTTTACAATTCCGGCTTATAAAAACCTTTTTTTCCATCACGCAGTAGAATAACATAAGGGCCTACTTTTCCATGCTCAAAAGTGTGCGGAAATAGCTATTTATGCAACAAGTTGCAAGACGAAGATTTTTTCAGCACGAGTTGTAGTTTAATTATAGTTTGTACATAATTACGACGAATGTTGAAAAAATCGAAGTTTGTTACCAGCTAGGGGCAAGTCAGCTGTACTCTGAGCTAATATTTTTACATTGAGTAGCTGTGCGTTACTCGTATTTACTAAAAAAAAAATACGAAGTAGCCTGAATTTTGCTTTTTCCAAACTGTTATATTTACAAACACACTAACGCCAGCCATTCTGAACAGATTTTTTTTAATTTCAAGTTAGTGAATTTTCCTTATAATAGCCTCTAGGAAAAACATTTTTATTATGTGTAGATACTGATGCAAGCTGAAAACGTTTGTCTATGTTCCAACATCGACATCCTTTTATTTGGACATTCGGTAGTAACGAAAAGCATAATGTTATGAGTTGCGTACAACATTATTTACATTAAACATTAAAAGAGTGTCGAAAAGTAGAACTTTTCGGCACTGCACCGTTCGAAAAATTCATGTAAATTTCTGCGAGATATAGCGCACATAAAATTAACGCTTGATTGGGCATAAATTTACGCGATATTTTGTGTAAATTTAAGCGCAATATCGCATAAATTAGCAGTATTGTATGCAAGCTTGTAAACGATTTCGTTGATTTTGCCAAGTTTAGCTCAACATTAAACGAAGGGAGATTTTACGCGATAGTTAAATTCAGAATTTTTTCTGTGTGGATGCTGAAAAGTAATGCCTTGTTCAGACTGGAGAGTTATAACATGTTATAACGGTTGTCAACTAATTGCAACACAGAAACCACCATCAAGATATCCCTATAACATGTTATAACTCTGTAGTCTGAACGTACTATAATACTTTTCGACGCTGTTATTTTAGTTATGAAAAGTAGGCTACTATGTTATATTGGATTAAGGTGATTCCATGTTGAGTTCACAAATGGCCGCCACGCACTTCCACTTCAAATTTTTAATTAAACAAATCTCGGAAATCAGTGCTCTTTCATTTGAAATTGCTACTTCATGTATGCTGCAGTACAGCAAACGTGAAGTAACAATTTACATGTTGCACGAGTCGTAAAAGCTGATATTTGTGCACTTAAAGTTGCCACTAAATAACGTTAATGTTACGATTTTTGTACCATTGCGGTATCAGTTTTGCGGTATGCTTCGGATATCCATCTTGGTGGAATGTATACCTACGCTGTCTATAATCGCATATCAGTCCCATATGGATTTTCGTCAATTTTGAGATAACAACGCTACCCACTATCAATTGGCATCTACATTCATATTATGTGATAAAACTATGGACTTTGATCATGAAAAATGTGAAAACAACATCAAGTCAGTTTGTCCCATCGCAAAATAATCGCATATTAGTCCCATCTTGAAATTCAACCGTATATATTTCAAGTTACAGGTCTGCTTTTCGAATTGCCATATTTTTCCCTGATATAAAAAAAACATGCAAGCTTCATTGCAACAGGTCTTAACATGAAAAAAAATATCAATAAATTTACTATGATTTTTCAAATATTTACATGGTAATTGCACTTCGTAACTTCGACTGCCATTTTCTCAATGCATACTTTTACCATATGGGACTGATATGCGATTATAGGCAGTTTCTTCAGTTTCTGCACACACAGAAAAAAACAAATTCTGAATGATCATGCATATTTGGTTATTAATCCGGTTAAGATTTTCGAAGATGGACAAGAACGCGATTATCCGTTTCAAAAGGAATCAAACCATCTATGCAGCCCTGCGAGAACTGCATCCCATTCCCACTATAGTCGCTATATTCATAGTCTGGCGGATAGAATCTCGGGAACCAATTGAGCTGTCAAATAGCGGAACCAATCGAGCAAATCACGGCCAACAACAGAAAAGAGCACATCAGCTATTGCTAACAAAACTTCGACAACCCTTTTCTCGTGACTCAAGGCTCGCCTACGCAAACTGACACCATATTTGGGTTGGGGAAAGTTTCCCCTATCCGATGATGCCGGTAATGTGCGTTCGATTGGCGGGGAATGAATAATCAACGTTTTGTTTATAAAAGTCCATAGTACCTTTTCAATTGTTGGTCTAAGGTATATTGAATTGGTTCCGCTTTATGATAGATCAAAATTCTATCCGCCAGACTATGAATATAGCGACTATAATTCCCACGGGATACTGACTGTACTGACTGTGATTTGCCGCTGACATACGGTTTCGAAAAAGAAGAGAAACCTTTATTGGAACCAAGATATTCCATTGTTCGTGGTATTCGCGTCTGGACCTGATACTTGGCTACCGTCAATCGGCTCCAGCAATCGTCTACAGCCGATTATCTTTTATTCCAAGCCGGAGGATCACTACATTTGGACACTTCAAACTGGTTCTACGTAGGACGGGACTAGTTTATGTTGATTCCCATCAAGCGAACCGTTTTGGATTGGAACTACAATGCAACAATAGCACGGATGCTTTATGTGGATTCATTTAGACTAGCTTGGTGAGATCGTATCTGATTTTATCTATTTAAACTAAATTTACATGATTCTCTTAAATTTGGCAAAAACAAACAGAGAGTAGCAATTTCAAATTTGTATGTTTTGTGGAAGCTGACCTTTGTGTCTTTAAAGTTTTACGCTAAGGCCTCCTTAGATTATCACCTTAACGGAGTTTTCTCCACTCATAATTGAAATCATCATTGAACGGCAAATGGATTGTCTGCATATTTTTGAGCATGTGATCGAACATTACTGTAAATCATATATGTTTAAACATTATATTATATACTGGGTTGGGGGGGGGGAGGCAGCTTAAGGGAATCAAAGGATTTGTTGACTGGACGCGGGCTCGTGGATTTGCGAGGGGGGCGACTCTATCTAAGATGCAGGACATTTTCTGCTTTGGTGTTGTGAGATGCACTCGCGCTTAATAGATAGAAACACGATTGATTATGATTTTGAAGATTTCCTGCAAAAAGTTGAGGGCGCTGCGAGTAGATGGGTTTAGATGCAAGAGATGAAAAAAGATTTTTCGTAGATTGATTCGCTAGTGTGAGATTTTTCGACCATTTAAAATCTAGATTTAGATGTGTCGCACCCCTTGTGGATTTGCCATTCCCTTGTCACGTGATTACATATGGCCATCTGGTCGTTTTGTCCAAAGGTCTTCAATGAAGCTGATTCACCCTCCTGCAACAAACCATTATGCAGAACTTTAAAACCGGTAAAGTATTTGCAGACATTGGTAATCCTTGCACTGATGGTGGGTTCCATTCACATCACATCACAACACATCACACAGAACAAAATTCTGAATTTTAACTACCGTGGACCCCCGGTAATATGACCGGTTTTAATCTGAACACTTTTTAATTTGAACCCTAATTGCCTAAACTTCATTTTGCACATGGAACGGAGTAAAGCAAAATGGAACATTGCAAAACGGAACGCAGAACAAAAACAAAACAGCAAATAAGGCAACCAGAAACACGCTGATAGGGGTACTAGAAGTTCAAATTAAAAATGAACCCCGTTAATATGAATGAGGTGTCGTTCAGATTAGCGGGGGTCCACGGTATAGCGTAAAATCTCCCTTCGTTTAATTTTGAGCTATACTTGGCATAAACAGCGAAATCGTTTTGAAGCTTGCATACAATATTGCTAATTTATGCAATATTGCTCTTAAATTTACACGAAATATTGCGTAAATTTATGCCAAATCTACACACCAAAAAATTATGAATTTTAATGGTGATGTAAATATCCATGCATGCTAAAATTGAAGCATGTAAACTTCCTTTTCACGTAAACTAGCAACTTGCTAGAAATATTGCTTACAAAGATGGATGGTTGCATACAATATTCAGAATATTCCATTAAATGACTCATAAATTTACACGATCTGTAATGTGAATTTGTATGATATGTGACGCTCCATTTATGTGCATCATAGTGACAGAAATTTACACTACTTTTTCGAACCGTGTAGCGTTGATTTTATGTGCGCTATATCTCGCAGAAATTTACATGAATTTTTCGAACGGTGCACTTGCTGGAAGTTTTCGCTTCAGTATGTCCAGATAAATTGCTTTTTTCATTATCCCGTCAATTTGAAGTTCTCCAGGACCAGAACCCCATTACCCTACCTGCAAGGTCAATGAATAAACAGATTGAGTAAGTTGACAATTGATAATACTGCATGACACAGCAAAAAAATAATTTTAATATCACATCAATGTGGATGCACTTCAATCGTGTCGAAAATATGGTCGTGAGTTGTGGTTGCTAATTACTTGCCAAAAAAGACAAAATTATCATTA